ATATAAAAGCAACAGTGTCATATGAAGTCAACTTTCTAATGTTTCCTGTGTCTAAACTTCTGTTGTTTTTAGGTAGGTATGTCTGGGCAAACCGTTCGACCTTAACCTGCTCATGGACATGACTATTTCATTATGGTCTGGGGCTTATTGGAAATGGCGTTCTTTATAAGCTTCTACAAAGAGAAACACTGAAAAAAACTTTTTTTAAATGGGGTGAACCACATGCAGCTGGATTTTCTCTTGTTACCTTCTAGGTACAAATGTCTGTCATTTTGACTAAGGTTTTCACAGGGAACAGTAGATGGGAGTTCTAGGAGCCAAGTAACCAGTGGAGATGTTAATGGTTCCGGCCAAGAAATAGTCTGTGACACAGCTGGCCTGCAGCACAAACAACAAAGATTCAAACCAACAGGCAACAAGAATTCATCCCCATTCCTCCTCATCCTTACATTTTCTCATCTCCTTCTTTGCCCCTTTCCTCCTCCTGACCTCATTTGCTGCTCTGTCCCAGCACATTCTCCTCAAAATGTGTGTGGCTGTGGTCCATAGATCAGCAGCCCCAGAAGCTGCAGCGTAGGGGTGGAGGGAAGCAGCGTGCAGCCGCTTTTTTTGATGCACTGCGTCCTGTCCTTCAAACCCAACAGGGTACTGACACCCGTTAATCAATGGTCAGGGCTTCAGAGGCCATTTAATAGATCACGCTGTAGAGATCGAGCATCTGATGCGGGCCGAGGTGGGGGAGCCTCTGTGAGCACAAAGTGCACTGTCATGCTAATCATCAGTCCCTGCAACACTGAGGGCTTTTATAAGGAAGTGTTGGGAGGTAAAGGGAGGTATTATTTGTGTGTGTGTGTGAGGGTGTTTCTCTGTTGCAGCTTTTTTAATTAATTGTGAAAAAAAATCATTTGAGGGGAAAATTGAGTATTTCAGTAATGAGATGTTTGTAGCTCCTCATTTATATTTTTCATTAGACGTGATGCCGCAGCACAGATTACAGTTGCATTTAGTGCCAGCTGCTACGTTGAAATGTTCACACCATAACACTTGAAGAACCGGGTTAGGGAGTAATGGATTATCTTTAACAAGATTACCATAATCTGGTTAGGAGAAAAGCTAAATGTAATCCATTCATTTAGATTTAAAAAGAAAAACTGTCCCGCAACTTTACAGCTTCATTCTGAATTATAGATTTATGAGCAGAAAGGGGAAATTGCATATGATTTTCTGCAGGTTGTTAATTGTTAATTAGTGTCTAACCAAAAATGAAAGTAATGTCTTAAATACATTGTGTGATATATTAGGTTTATACTCATACATATTACTGCAACTAACCCTTCTTTTCCACAGGTCAAAACCCTCTAACACCCTCTTTCACATGACTTTAGTCTGTAATGTGAGTGGATATGATCTGTATTCACTCCCGGGTCAAATTACAGTGGACACAGGTTCTAATCGGCTCTGGCTCTGATGGAAACATGACAACCAGGTGAAAACGCAATTTTTTATTTGTCTTTTATTTTGGAAGTCTAGATGCTGAAGCTGCACTTTTTCAATGTGACACACAATTTTTTTTTTTACTTCTGGGCGCTGGCCCATATAAAGCCTTTACGTTTTAGTACTTGCTTATTTACATCTTAGGAACAACCTGCAACATTGTTTTTTCTTCAACAAGAATCACACCAAACACCAGCACTTTCTGATAATATATCAAATTTTTGAGCATATGATGTATAATGATATCATAACGACATAAAAATAAATGTATGATTATTAAAGTTTTATCTGAGCTGATTTGAGTATTTGACTGTCGTATTCAGAGCATTTACTGAAACACCTCTTGTGTGTTTGTGCACCGTTTCCCTCATTTGCTGCCTTCAAATCATAACTCTCAGCCAGCTTAATTAAAACAGAGCCCGTTTTACATAAAAATCGTTGCTGAAAAGACTTTGATTTCCATTTGTGCTTGCAGTGCAGAGATGCAGAAATTCCTCCACAAAGTTTGAAAAAAAAAGAAAAAAGAGCCTGATATTTTTGTGTCTCTCCTCACAGTTTGGGCTTAGTGCTGCATGCGCCTCACAATAAAGAGGGTAGTTTTCCATTGATGAGCCGGTACAGGCAGCTTCAGCACCAGCACCAGCAAATCACTTCTCTGTTAAAAGGCCCTGATGCGTAGCAAACTCTCCTGCCAAGCCTCCTCGCTCCAAATCTGCCTGCTTGCAGACCCCCTGTAATTGGAGGCATTAAACTTGCTTTGGACAGGATGGCAAATGAGTGCTTTGAGCTTGGAAGAGAACTGACTGGTGCATTCAGGAGGGGTACACAAGTAGCTGCAGCTAAATCTAACAAATCACTGCCAATCCTGCAGATCTGTTTGTGAGTGCACGAGCGTCTGCAGTTATGTATTTGCAGTGTTTTTTTATCCCTGCAGTGTCCTGTCTGGCCTGGTGTTTGTGTGTGATTATGTACATGGGGTGTAAAAGCAGAGCTGCTGTTAATCTCGCAGTAATCGTCGGGATCACTCTGGTGATGGAGGGATTTGACGGTGAACCCTCCAACTGTCTGGTCACTGACAAGCAACCAGCAGCCATGAAATAAAAACTGTCATCCTGCCATCACTTCCTCAGTTTTCACTCCACCAAGCATGCTCATTAAAATCGCCGTGAGAAACTGTCGCTGCTGATTTCTCATCACTTAATGGTCTGTAATACAATAATGAGATATTTTCCTTTAGGTTTGCTGCCATTTTGTGTCATCTTTAAATATGCAGCAGTGGAAAAAAACACTACATTTCCAGCTCTAAGGAGATGGCGGGGGGCGAACGCTGTCTGTGATGTAAGCAGTGAGCTGCAGTGGCCGGCGAAGCCGGACACGCTTCAAGTGTTAACTGGTAAACAGGATGCAAATCCTCACTTTGTCAGATCTCAGATGTCACAGAAAATACCCAGCATGTAAAATAGATGTGTTTCAGATATGAATTCAAAGCAGAGCGCTCTTCAGAATAACTTGTAACAATGCAGTTTTTAACTAGAAGCCCTCGTCCTGAACTGGTTTGTATGCATAGTGTTCTCCTGCAAGGTCAAACATTTCTAAACATCTTATTTCTTGCTTCAACAGAAAGAGTGGTTACACCACAAAGCGTTTATCTGCGATCTGCCTGCAAAAGCTTTGACACACATGATAAATGCAATGCTGCTAGGTCACCCAGTGGAATTACACTCTGTGGCTCAGTGTCTGGGCGCATTTGTGAATTTGTATGTATGCTTTGTGTTGTGTGTGTGATTGAAGCAGATTAAAGAACATGTGGAAAACACAACTCCAGGAGAATCATACAGCTGCAGCCAGTCAAATATGGTTAAGTATGAACCCTTGAAGAGCACCACCTTCCCCATGTTCAAGCTCCCTCTTGGTCACTAAAACCAGGGGGTGACAGCTTCACTCTTCTGCATCGCTCTGGAGAAAGACCCAGTTTGTGTCCCGGTTAGCTGATTAAAGCCGAACAACATTGACATTTGGTGTGATGCCAGATTAACTTTGCTTCCTTGAAGCCTGTCCAGCAGCAGCAGCAGCAGCAGCAGCCGACACTGAAATCCCCAGAATAGTCCTGTGGTCTCACTAATTGGCGAGCCGCGTGGACCGGCCTTTGATTCGTCTTAAATCTTAATGAGTCCGTCCAAAGCTGCTGTGATATTCCGACTGAGGTGGTAAAACACACTCACTATTCCCTCCTTTCATCCCGCGGCCGGATGAGCAGGGACCTGGAACCTCAGCTTGGTGAACCCGCCGAGAAATCAAAGAGAATACCAGAGATCCGTTTAATAATTTATTTGCATATGATTATCGTAAAAATACTGAAAGAGAAATGCTTATTTTTGTTCTAGTTTTCTGGCGGTTTTTTTTCTTCCTTTTTTTTTTTTACAATCTAATACACCTTTAATTGCACAGGAAAAAGTCTGCCCTAACAGACACAACGTTTGATTTTCTTCTTTCATTGTGACATATAGTTTCAGATATGTAATGACCATTAAACTGCGATCTGCGATTTGTTTGCTCCTCCACAATAAACAAACAAGCATAGAAACGAGGGTCAGAGAGGCCAAAGTCAGGTCAGATCAAGTAAATGCTGAGCAGATTGGTCTAATAGAAATATAGTATTATACACAGGCAGTTGTTTTAGATAGAGAACTGCGCTGACAGGTGGCGTGCTGAAGAAAACACATGTCGGGTGAAATAAACCAGTGAGTGATTTGTTTAACATCAAAGTTTGAAGGTCAGGTCAATATTAAGGTCACAGAGCTATCATGTGGATAGTGACCTTTTTAATTCTAGCTGATCTGCAACATGTTCGCCAAAGTAAAAGATACAACAACAGCACTACCACGGGCACTTTTCATTAAAAAACAAAAAAATGCCGAACAGCGATCTCGAAAGTCTCCTCAGTGTTTTTTTTAAAGGTCTGAGCAGAACGTTTCCTTCTCAATTCCCTCATTCATTATCTGTCTGGTTTGTTCATGTGTGAAAAAACAAGCATCGTAATAAAAAAGTTGAAGCCCCGGTACTCGTAAAAAAAAAAACACAAAAAAACACCTCTTTGCAATAATAGATAATAACTTAGCATTCAAAACAATGCCTATATGAATCAAATAAGATTAAGAAAACATGGACGTTAAAAGTCCATACAGCAAGATGCCACCAAAGCAACAGGTAACGTGGAACTGGTTTTGTACTTTTTCTCATGAAGAAGCTTCCACTTTGGCATGCACATGACATGTCCCGCACAGTGTCAGTCATCTCCCCTCCGACACAGAGAGAGAGACGGTGTGAAGACTCAGATGCTTTGTACAGTTTTGTAACAAGTATATCTCCCAGTACACATGGAAGACAGTATTTAAGAGGAAGCGGATGAAAAGAAGGTTCGTTTTTTTTCTTGGTTTCCAAAAAAAAAAAGCAAAATAAAAGAACATTGGTTGGTTGGGTTGGAAAAAAGAACATTTGAGTGAAAGTCTAGAGATGTAGAGCGGTTTTAAGAGTTAGTTTTAAAGCAAATGTTTGCTTTATTTTGGCACAGTTGTATCGTTATAGACACAGAATCCTATCATTTGTGTGAGCTCTCCCATCCTCCGTCAGGGGTGGAAGAGAGGGAGGGATTGATTCCCAACCAGCAGAAAACACATGCAGACATGCAAACACAACCTGAGAGGGGGCAATAGGAAGTTCGGCCTTATGTCAATTATACAAATCCACAAAGTGTCAAGTAATGAACACACAGACTGCAATGGAAAGTTCTCTTAAAATGGACATTAAATCTCCAGTCGGGAAAAAAAAAATCTCCAAAAGCAGGTCCTTGCTCTCTGCAGTTTCCTTCTTCTATCTTCTTCTTTTTTTATTATACATTAGGCTCTTTTTGCACCAGAGTTTCTAGGTAGTTTCTCATTCGTCCTGCGTCCGCCGATGATTTGCGGGAGCTCACACTCTGATGGGGAGAGTTTGGCTCATCTGTTGCCGAACGATTTCCTGACTGCTGTCCGGACTCTTCCTGTTGTGTCCTGGCAGCGTTCCTCCGAGCCGCAGCAGGTCCCTGCCAACGCAAAGCCACACAGGTCAACAGCAGGTTCACAGCCACTTAAAACTAAAGATACAGCTCATTATTACTGCGCTAAGTGTTCCCATTGAATGTGGATAAAGGCCTAATCCATCTTAGTGACAGTGTAGCTATATTTTGCATAGTCCATTTACCTAAGACCTCATGGTTATAAACAATAAAACACCGCAGCATGAGGATGTGTTAAAAACTGAGCTGCAGATGCTGTAAGAAGAATCCAGCTCATTCATCACATTTTTAATAAAAGTTCTGTATATTTCTCAGCTATATTGGGAGAAGCGCTGTAGCCTCAGATTGTCCTTTGTTCCACGGCCAGTGTCCTTGTTTTTAAGGCCCTTGTGGATGTAGATACTCAGATAGGCCGCATCTCATATCCTCCCCCTCCCTCCATTATCTGGCCCAGCATCGCTGCGCAGCCAATGGCAGGTGAGCAGCGGAGAGAATTCACCGGCTCAGACGCACACGGAAACACGGAAACACGGGAGACGCTCTCTAAATCATGCTCTGACAAAATGATCCTTTCTCTCTCCTGCTCTTCCTCCTGCTCCCGCTCTGCCTATCTCTCTTGTTGTTGCATACAGATGAGGCCATAAATTAATCATTGGCATGTCACCCGCACGCAGCGACACGTAGCATAACACACACACACACACACACACAAACAAACAATACACACACACACACACACACACACACACTCCTATTTGCCCATCATAGCATCGGGTGCGCCCTCCCCTGATGCATTAAAAAGCTCATTAGCAACCTAATTAAACACATTTCTCTCTTTTAGCTTCTCCTCAATCTCCCTTATTACTCACACTTCATCACTTCCTGCTTTTCCACATCAGCAGCTCTGGCTGCTGTCTGTCCTATCACCTATATTCCAGAATCCAGCCAAGTATAGGGGAATTAAACGGAGGTCAGCCATTACATTTCCACACACAATTAGCTTCACTGAGCCCAAATCCTGGCGTAGCGATCGCCCTTGGGGCTCAGTGTTAGAGTGAAACTGTGAGCCAAGGAGCTGGCTCAAGACCTGGATACTGCATGTATGAAATTCTGCCTTTTGTGCCTGTCGACACAGGAAACCATCGCGTAGTCAGGGTCGCAGAGTGGAGGATGTGTGCTTGATTCATTAGACATCCCTGCAGAGCTGAGGATCGAGCATCTACACCGGAACTAATCATATTGTTGACTGAATGCCAGAATAACAAACATGTTGGTAAAAATGGCTCAAACATTTGGAGACAGCAAACATAACCTGAAAAACAAGGCGTTGATGGCTCCCTATGAATAAGTCAACTTGTAAACTTCAGAGGGAAGTGTCAGAGAAAAAGAGGCAGACGTCTGTGTCGCAGCTCGAGCCTCCTACCAAATCAACCGAAAACATAAAACAAACCAGACCCAATAGGCATGAAAGCTGTTGTGAGTCTCTTTAGGCCGGCAGTAATTTTTGTTACGGTGACATCTTATTCCAACAGCCCAGAGGCGTGCCGCCGCTCGTCTCTGCACCAGGAGTCTTCAGCTTCACAGCAGGAGACAATTTCACACCAGGTGAGAGAAAAAAATTGCATCACCTCTTTTTGTCTTTGCTATATTTGTGCTGTTACTGTAGAAAGACCTCAAAAGCATTTTGTGCCTATATTGAACAATAGCAGCACAATGCATATACTTATTATATACCATATATAATGACTGCAACAACAGTCAATATTGCAGTTACAGAAAACTTTCTGCTATCAAATATTAAATAAGTATATTATATGTAGACTTAATGTATGTACCTATATGTACCTATATTATATATTATACACATAAACATAATTAATGATGTGTAATTTATATTTCTTTCTGATTGCTTTTATTTGCTTTCTTTGTATTAAACATGTTTAAAGTGTCTTTGAGAATTGTTAAACAGTCTTTATAAATAAAATGTGTGTTATAATCGTATTTATATTTGCTGTTGTTGTTGATATTATATTCTAATATTTTATGTTTAAAATTGTGCCTTTACTTTGAATTCTGCTTGCTGTCGTGAACTGAGATTCTTCAGAAGGGTAACAGGTTTGCAGTAATTTTGCTTTCAGTAATTTGTAGGTGAACATTTGGTTCAAAGTTCTGTGCATAGTTGAGAACTCAGTGAAAATTTGTCTTTTACTATAGCCACTAAGGAAAAGTAAACTTCAAACTAAATTCTAAGAAAATGTTTGTCAGAAAAGCTGATAAATCTTTCAAGAAACTTGCCAAGGTGGCACCAGTGAAGTGTTTTGCCCTATAAAGAAGTGAAATTGCAACAATTTTCTGAAGCAAACATTTTACATCCACTTCTCTCAATTCAATTTGGCATATGAGAGGCAGTTGGAGAACAAAACTGCGGCACAAACTATGACAGAAATCTTTATTCATTTAAGAAAACTATGTGAGAAAACCTCTGCTGTGTCTCTTAGTGAGGGATTAAGGTGTCGGCGTGCTTCAAACGAGGTGCCTGTCAGTTGGTTGAGCAGCAGCCTCCTCCACCCACACCTTTCCAATGTTGGCATCAGAGGTGGGGGTGGGGGGATGCTGCATCGATCAATTTCTGTAACTTTCCGAAACCAACAATTCACAACAAGCTCGCCCACTTCATGCAGTGGATGGTGAACATGAGAAACAGCTGAACTTTGTTTGTACAACCAAGTGCAATAGTGTCAAGTTATCGTCATTTGGGCTTTTTACAAAACCTTTCAGGCTGAAGAAATACATTCTTTTAATTTAATCCTGCTTCATGTGTAAATGTACGTATCGTGGCTGCCAAACATCAGTTTTACCCATTCTTAAAAAATAACGCTTTGTGTCTGCAATACGCACATGGACAGTGGGGGCAGTGTCCTTGCTCTTGTCACAACGTTGTTGTTTTAAGGACCTCACATACCATCTATGATGATACTGCGATTACAGCGTCCGTAGGCTAACCTCTGCCAGTGTCGCCATGTTTTTTTTCCTAATATATAGCGTCTAATATCTGCTGTGTGCCCTCTAGTAGAAAACTGGTTTAACAGTAAGTACATCTATAACCGTTCTGTACAACTCTATTCCACCCAGGGTCCTCTTAGATATTAGATCATATCGAGTACAAGCATACTAACACCAGAAACCAGTCCTCCACATGAGCTTACCCTGAGTTGGTGCTGGTCACCACCTTGAGGCTGGCGGCATTGCGGAGCAGCTTGTCCAGGGTGCTGACGATGTTCGAGAACTTAGGCCTCAGGTTCCTCTCCTTCATCCAGCACTCCAGCATCAGCTGATGCAGCACCATGGGACAGTCCATGGGAGGCGGCAAACGGTAGTCCTGCTCTACTGCCGTCATCACCTGAGCAACAGGAAAACATCATAAATAATAACATAATGTTGACATGCTACAGTTTGTCAACATTTTTACCATTTTAGTTTAGTACGTGAACATGCTAAGATGTGCTAATTGACACCAAAAACAAGGCCCGACAGAGGCTGAAAGGAACGAAATCAGATACATTTATTAAAGCTAGAGTTGGTGTTACCAGAGGGGGAAGGAAGAGAAAACTAGACTTTGAAAAATGCGACCAATACATTCCGTCCCATCGCTCCTCTCATCAAAGAGAGGCTCAGACTCAGGCTCTATGGTACAGAAAGATTTTATCAACTTCATTGTGATGCTTTGTCATAGTACAAACACCCAAAGTTCTAACACACTCCCTTTTCTCATTGATTACTGCTCACTCAGCCTTTTTTAGTGCAGAGGAAGAATAATCCCCGGTTGCCATATATTGTCCATCGTTAGTCAGTTCCTCCGCTCAGTCTGTCACATCTGCCTTCACAAAACTCTAAAAACAATTTTCTCAAGTATTCTCAAAGTTGTCACTTGAAAACAGCCATGATTGATAGCAGAGACAATAAGTGGGGGATGAAAACGTTTGCTCATTGATTTGATTTCGCCTAGCAACTACATTACCCTCTATACACTACGTACAGGTTTTAACTCCCCACCACAATAAAAAAATTGCCAGTTGGGAGCAATAAAGCCTTTCTGCTGCACTCGTCTTCCCCTGCTGCTTGTCCTTTGATTTTTTATGTCGAACGAGTACCTCTGTTTATATCTTCTATTTGTCGACTCTGTTGGTTATTGAGCGACGACTGCGGCACAAAGGCAGCCAGGAACAATAGAGGCCCACACTTTGAAGCTTTCATTAGTGCGTGTGGGTTTTGTTATGAAAGTTATACATACATTACTGGCATTTTTCATTTCGGCTCTTTCTTTGGTTTATTGCTATCAGCGTTACAACTCCTCTTTTTGAAGCACAATACAGAGCAGATATTCCTCCGAGAATAAAGTGGAGGTGTACAAACCGCTTCAGTACTTTGTTCAAGAGGAGGAACCCAGAGATTTCTTTTTCTTTCCTGCGAGCTCGCTGCTGTAGTTATGATGTCTGTGCAGTGCAGATAGCCTTCAGGTAACAACGCCCGTAAAAAAAGCCTTTCCTGAATATGCCTTTGTGTGTGTGGGGAAGTAGGATTTGCAGTATGGATTTGTAGAGGGTGGGCAGACTGGGGCTGTAAATAAATTGTTAAAAACTAGAACAGAGGCACACAGCTGCACCAGCATCTGCAATGAGGAGATAAAGACAACGGAACAGGCCCGGGTCCAACATGTCATGCTAGAAATCAAAGCCACCGTAGCTCAGAGAAACTTCCACGCACAACTCCAGTGTTTGTCTGTAGATATTTGTTCGCTAAAACTCACATCCTGGTTGCTCATGTCCCAGTATGGTCTCTCTCCATAGGACACCACCTCCCACATGACGATACCGTAACTCCACACGTCACTGGCAGAGGTGAACTTCCTGAAGGCGATGGCCTCTGGCGCCGTCCACCGGATGGGAATCTTCCCTCCCTGCTCACACACAAACACAGAGGGAGATGGAGTCAACACCCTGGGAGACATTACAATCAAATAACGACACGAGGAGGCTGCGTGAACACACACATGCAAATTTCCCAGACGTGCTAACAAAAATATTGGCACACATGATCGGTCACACATGCATCCGTGTGTATATGTGAGATAAGTGAAAGGGATCAAATTAGAAAGCACAATTAAACACACAAGGGCAGAACAAACTCACACAGACACACACACACACACACATAATACTGACCAGGGAGCTTGTGTATGTGGGGTCAGCAGAGGTGTCGTCCAGAAATCGTGACAGGCCAAAGTCTGAGACCTTGCAGACCAAGTTGCTGTTGACCAGGATATTCCGCGCGGCGAGGTCTCGGTGAACATAGTTCATGTCTGACAGGTACTTCATCCCTGCGGCGATGCCACGCAGCATCCCGACCAGCTGTGTCATCGTGAAGCGTCCGTCATTTAGCTGCAAAAGAGCAGGAGGGGGGAGGAGAGGGTGGTTATCAGTGATGGAGGGAAAATGAGGAAAAAAGGATGTAGAGAAATATGGAGGAAAAGACAACAGGGACGAGCATTTGAGATAAAGAGGAGGGGAAAGCACAAGGGAGCCAATCAGTCACTGAGGCAACATAAACATGACATGTGTCATAATGCTTCACGGCTGCTACTGACAGTCACTGACAGCTGACCTTTTCACACATGCTGTCCAATTAGCTGATTAATTACACTCTTTGCTTTCATAATAAACCCATTAGGGCTCAATACCAACAACTACCGACCAACCACACGCAAATAAAAAATGGAGCAGCGACACAAGAATCTCAACCAGACCTCTGCAAGTATTTGGTTTTTTTCTACATTTTTTTCCCTGTGAACTTTAAAGCACAGTTGGCCCGTCGACTGGATTGGAGCGGCATGTTTCTCAAAGCTGGTTTCCCTCATTTCAAAGTCCACCATTTGCAGATTTTTTCCTTTTTATGTGCACATTTGAGAAGCATGAAACAAATCTGAAATTAGGGCTTTCAGGGTTTAATTTACAATTCTCCACGTTTATGAAGTGTGCCGCAGCGGGATGAACTCAAGATCGTAATAAATCAGCACTAAAAACCTGTGAAGGCTCATGAAAGCCGATGTGTGACTGTGCGGGACTAAAACTAATCAATGGAATGTCGACACACAGTAAATACTGATACATAATAACTCGTCCAAATCTGGACAAACCTGAATCTGCACAGAGGCTCTCTTCTATGACTTGAATATTTAATACAAGCGCAAAACAATTTTCGACATAATCAATCTCTCAGACTCAGCAACAAGAAAGCAATGAACACAAGACGTGACATGACAAAACCATAAACATTCTGCTTTGTAGTCTGCACACTCCACTGAGATCTGACAGCAAAACAAGCTGGGATGGATGGATGTATAAACAGCTATGATTCATCGCAGGCCTTCCAAGCCACGGTGGCGTGTAGGTTGGAATGTGTGTGTTATTTCTGTATATCTGTAGTGTTTCTACATGTGCATATGTTGTGTGTGTGAGTCTCCAGAGAGCATGTGTGGGACACATTCGGACAGTTTGTGCATGTGTGAGTGAGTTAACTCTATAGGGTCTTGGTTAGAGGAGAACTCAGAGTTCCTCTGAGTCACAGGCAGTGTGACACTGGCGGCGAGCGGGGGTGAAGACGGCACAGGCTGGGTATTTTTTTGTGTTATTTACGAGACAGCTGACTGAGAGGAGTGGGTGAGAAGGAGGGAAGAAGCTCAGGCTGGACAATCAGATGTACAACAAACTTATTTTCTTTTTTAAGTATGAATTAGTCAGTTTTTTCTTTTTTCAAATGACAGATTATTTGTCACCTTTACAAAATGTCAGTAACAGTGAAGGTGATGTTTCCAATGAAAGATTAATGAGCAATTATCTGACAAGAAATTTGTCATTTGTTACTTTTTAAAGAAAAAATCTCAATATACTGGGATTTGATGATTTACTTGGGTTCCTGTGATTTGAGTTTTTTTTGTTTTTTTCTTACACCTCATAAAAATTGTTGATTGATTATTTGTA